AACAATCCCGGGCTAGCTCCGGTACCGCTAACACATTTCTTCCTAACCGGGCGGCAACTTGCATTCCATCAAGTGTTTTTTTTGTTACTACGGCCCGTGACTCAACCACTTTTTTGATACCACCACCAGTTTCCAGAGACAGAATTTGGAGATGGCGATGGCGGGTTGCAATGGCTTCCTTCTACATCAATTGAGGCAACCCCGGCTTCAATTGGCCCGTCAACTCACTCGCACGCCATCCCGGGCCTATTCTGCCCCCTCCAACGGCTCCATCCCCGCCGCCAAGAAGAAGTATGTCCCGACCAAGGGAACCTATCCTCTCGGGTTCCGGACTTCTGGTACCATAGTTGGTGTCAAGCCGAATAACACGACGAAGCCGGACCTGGCTCTCTTGACATCAGACACACCTTGTGCTGCCGCCGCCGTCTTCACCAAGAACAAGTTCCAGGCGGCTCCCGTCACTTTCAGCCGAAACCTCCTCGAGAAGAGGAAGAACCAGGGAATCCAGAGCGTCATCATCAACTCGGGATGCGCCAATGCCGTCACGGGCAAGGGTGGTCTGGAGGATGCCACCAAAATGGCCCAAGAAGCGGATAAGTGCACCGGCCAGAACGAGAGCACCATCGTCATGAGCACCGGTGTGATCGGCCAGCGGCTCCCCATCGACAAGATTCTCAACAAGGTCCCTTCCGCACACAGCGCCCTTGGTGGTTCCCACGACCACTGGCTGGCGGCGGCCAAGGCCATCTGCACGACCGACACCTTCCCCAAGCTCATGTCACGCACTTTCACCCTGCCCTCCTCGTCGGGCGTCGAGTATAGGATAGCGGGCATGACCAAGGGCGCGGGGATGATCCACCCCAACATGGCCACGCTGCTGGGCGTCATCGCCACGGACGCGCCCATCACCTCAGCCGCCCTCCCCTCGGCGCTCAAGCACGCCGTCGACCGCTCCTTCAACAGCATCACCATCGACGGCGACACCTCCACCAACGACACGGTCGCCCTGTTCGCCAACGGCGCCGCGGGCGGCAAGGAGGTCACGGCGGACACCCCCGACTACGACGCCTTCCAGGCCGTGCTGACCGACTTTGCGGCCGAGCTGGCCCAGCTGGTTGTGCGCGACGGCGAGGGCGCCACCAAGTTTGTCACGGTGCGCGTGACCGAGTCGGCCAGCGAGGAGGCCGCGCGCCGGATCGCCAGCACCATCGCCCGGTCGCCGCTCGTCAAGACGGCCCTGTACGGCAAGGACGCCAACTGGGGCCGTATCCTGTGCGCCACGGGGTACTCGCTGGTTTCGGAGCCCGGGCAGCCTATCAATGATGTTCCTGAGATCGCTCCCGAGAAGACGAATGTGTCGTTTATTCCTACCGATGGTACGGCTGAGCTGAAGCTCCTGGTCAACGGCGAGCCGGAGAAGGTGGACGAGGTGAGATATCTTGAAGACTATGGGGCGAGACTAGCTGCTGACGTGATGTAGGCGAGAGCTGCTGAAATTCTGGAGCTCGAAGACCTCGAGATCCTGGTCCGGTTGGGGCAGGGTGACAAGCAGGCGACGTACTGGACCTGCGACTACAGCCACGAGTATATGTGAGTAACCAACAAGTATTTTGTCTCAACTTTTGGCTAACATGATCATACAGCACTATCAACGGCGATTATCGCACTTAGACGGTGTGTTAGGGGTGGAATAGCGGTAGTAGAGTCTTTAGATGGGCCATACTAGAGTATAAGAGATCTAGATAACTCGAAGACGGTAAAACTATCTTGACCTATCCTCAATCATGGCCACAATCTGTATGGTGAAGCTGCTAGAGGACCCTCGCCGCGCTGTAAAATGAGGGTTAGGGTATCCGAAAACCACTTAAATCGGAACCGCGTTAGACGCGTCGCGGTCCCAAAACTCCAAGCCAGCTTCCAGGCACCCGACAAGTCTAGCACACACCACTTCACCACCTGAATTCTCACGGCTTTCTGGCCAACACTTCAGTCACTATGGCGCTAGCAAAAGGAGAAGAAAAGGGTGAATCATCGACCGCCGCCTACAAGGCGCACATTGCGAACCCTACCGGCAATCCCACCTACGAGCTCCCCTGGTGAGTCCCTTTGATCTCGCAAAAAGGTAAAGCTACTCACACCCAAGCAGGGTAGAGAAATACAGGCCCGTCTTCTTGGACGACATCGTGGGAAACACAGAGACCATCGAGCGGTTGAAGATCATTGCCCGCGATGGCAACATGCCGCACCTCATCATCTCGGGCATGCCCGGTATCGGCAAGACAACAAGCGTGCTGTGCCTGTCGAGGCAATTACTAGGCGACTCATACAAGGAAGCGGTGTTGGAGTTGAACGCCAGTGACGAGAGAGGTATGTCGCCTGCTAGCCCTCCCCAGGCCGCTGACGCTAACAACCCAACCACAGGTATCGAAGTCGTCCGACAACGAATCAAGGGCTTTGCCCAAAAGAAGGTCACCCTCCCGCAGGGGCGACACAAGATCGTGATTCTCGACGAAGCCGACAGCATGACCTCGGGCGCGCAGCAAGCCCTCCGACGAACGATGGAGATCTACTCCAACACGACCCGCTTCGCCTTCGCATGCAACCAGTCCAACAAGATCATCGAGCCGCTGCAGTCACGGTGCGCCATCCTGCGGTACGCCAAGCTGACAGACGCGCAGGTGGTCAAGCGGCTGCTGCAGATCATCGAGGCGGAGAAGGTGGAGTATAGCGACGACGGGCTGGCGGCGCTGGTGTTCAGCGCCGAGGGCGACATGCGGCAGGCCATCAACAACCTGCAGTCGACGTTCGCGGGGTTCGGGTTTGTGTCGGGCGACAACGTGTTCAAGGTGGTGGACTCGCCGCACCCGATCAAGGTGCAGGCCATGCTCAAGGCGTGCTACGAGGGCAACGTCGACTCGGCGCTCGACACGCTGCGCGAGCTGTGGGACCTCGGCTACTCGAGCCACGACATCATCAGCACCATGTTCAAGGTCACCAAAACCATCCCGACACTGAGCGAGCACGCCAAGCTGGAGTTTATCAAGGAGATCGGGTTCACGCATATGAAGATCCTGGAGGGTGTCCAGACGCTGCTGCAGCTGAGCGGGTGTGTCGCGCGGCTGTGCAAGCTGAACATGGACCCGGCAAAGTTTGAGCTGGCGAAGAAGTGATGAAATAGACGAGGAATTAAGATACCCAATGGAAGCCTTCACTTGCTAGACGTGAAAAAAAGGTGAATATATACACTGGCTTGACATAATACACGGCGCCGTTCCCATTCCACAACGAACCCCCTTTATTCATCGTCATCCTTTCCGTACTCCTTCTCGAACCTTTCCCAGTAAGCCCGCTCGCTCGCCAACCGCCTCTGCACCCTCATCCGCGCCTCGTACTGCCGTAACCTCGAATCCGCCTCGATCATGCTCCCCAATACCATGCCCGACATTTGGATGTATCTGCCAACATGATCAGCTTTGGCTCCTCCTCAATGGCTCTCTTGCTACGAGAAAAGAAGAGAAAAGAAGCCAAACAAAAAAAGGAGAAGATGGGATCGCAACGTACACCTTAAACTGAATCGTCAGCCCCCGATACACCGGCGACATAGCATACCCGATGCCGCCGAGGACAGCCGTCGCCAGGCCCCACTTGACGGCGCCCGCGACAGCGCCGCGGGAGGCTTCCCACGAGGCGTCGGCCGCCTCCTCGTGCTTGGTGTCGTTGGCGGAGCGCATCACGCCTCTTTTGCCTGTCTCCCTTTTTTGGGCGGACAGGACAGAGGGAGGGTTGGTTGGGGTGGTGTGCGGGGTTCCCGGAATGGGATTTGGTCGCGTGAGAATATCTATGCCCGGGCTGGGATGATAGGTGGTGGGCTTATCTTCCCGTCTTGGATCGGGTGTACTTGGTCGTCTCGTGTGCGTGTAGGTATTTACAGCTAGCCTGCAGAGGACAGGTCCCCTAAAGGGTTGCTCCGTGGCGGCGAGCTCCCTAAGCTGAGCTTCCGCTGGTGCTCGGGATTCGGTGTTTTATGCCGAAGCCCGGGTTTTCAGTCAGGGACTTGACCCGCAGATGCGCCGGTGGCAGGATGTAGTGTATAAAACTGGTCAAACTAAATTCATGTTTGCGCACCCCTAGAATGCGCCATAGGTTTGTATCGTAGGCTGCTTTCCGTCTGGAGATTTTAGGGAAGTGGTGAGAGGTCATACTTTGCTGTGGGGCCGCGGAAACGTTCTGACAAAAAGTCCCCAAGCTCTTTTGTTAAGTTCTTTTGCCTACTCAATGTCCCACACAACTACGCCAACCATCCATTTCAATTTAGATGGAAGACTCCGCGCAAGAGAAAGCGCCGGAGGCACCGATCAGTACCACTCAATGATCATCACAGACATTATTCGGGATAGACGACTGTCAACCAGACCTCGGCAGCCAGAGAAACCCTCGTCAATAGCGACGCGTGGAAAGATAGGGAATACCATCTGCAGCATTACGGATTTCCTACCAACCCGGAGAGGAATCATGACGTTACCCGCAGGATGTCTAGCCTACCAGCAAGCGAAATGCTGACCGCCGAGGCGCCGACAACCACCACGCCGTTGCCGCCAGACCGGCGTCAAATTTGGCGGCGGGGGGGTTGACACATAGGTACTTATAGAGTCAGATCAGTTGCCCCCTTCCATCTTAATTGGGACCTCGGCTTCACAATGAAATCGGAAGAAGAGATGACCCTGCCGGAACTCCTTGGATTAGCGGCTTCCAGAGTTGTTATACTCTCCAAATTTACCTCTTCGTTGCTAGGGTTTCCCTACTTTCTCCTGTAACGTAGATCTTCCAGCCCTTCTATTCATAACAGGTTGGGAAGAGCAATGGACATCGAACCTCGTTACAGTACTGCTAAAGCAATGGGAGCCCTCACTCACAAGTTCAGCTCCTATGTGACCTAGCGTGGTGGGGAGCAAAAAGGATGGCGACGAGAATCCGGCGATGTAACCGAGAAAAACTTAGAGTGACCCCAACCCGACTTGAACGGATAACCTTTCGATCTGGAGTCGAACGCTACTACCAATTGAGCTATGGGGCCTTTACATTTGTTGGAGGTCGTGTTTTTTTATTGAGTTTAACAAGCAACAAGTGTGTGTCATCGGAGGACGCCCAACTCTACGGTGTCCCCCATTCATGTCCCTAGCACGGTGTAAGGATTAACTTGCTGATGTACCCCCCACCCCTGTTTTATCCCCTGTTCCTGCTCTAGCCTTCTCTTCTTTTCTCCTAGCTGTTATCCTCCCTCTTTTCTCGCTCTAGCTACCTCCCCATAGCTCTTCTATTACACTATGTGAGCGACTATATGTAAGGTACGCAGGGGTATTCCTAATAGGGGCCTGGTTATTCTTGATGGAAGCCCGGTTGATTCGACTAGGGCTAGGCCGCTCCTATGACCGCTCCTGTTCCCCCCATTGTTGACCTCCAATACGCTATGAACCACCTTGACACGTAGGCTGTAGGCGCTGATGAGCCAAGCGGAGCATGATCTGAGGTTCTGCGCCGTCTGGCCCCCTCAGCCATAATGGTGGGTCACTAGGTTACGAGGCAACTAATAAACTGGAATGTGTTTTTGATCTTTCTCTATTCCCCATCTCGCTCTCATGCTCAAAGTATCTATATGTCATCCATCCCCCCTTCAACTGCGCTCAAACCATCAGCCCGAACCGATGCCACCCCCTCGGTCGCCCGCACTAACCTTCATCGACCACCATCCCCAACCCCCGCCTAAACACTCAACGTCCCCTTCGTACTCGGCACCTCCCCCTCCCTCCCGGCAACGCGGCTCGTCGCCTGGCGCACGGCCACGGCCAGCGCCTTGAAGGCGCTCTCGGCGCGGTGGTGGTCGTTGTCGCCGCGCAGGCAGTCGACGTGCAGGGTGACGCGGGCGGCGCCGGCGAAGCTCTGCAGGCAGTGCGGGATCATCTCGGTGCTGAGGTCGCCGATCTTCTCGCGCTTGAGGCCCAGGTCCGCCACGCAGAACGGCCGGTTCGACAGGTCCACCACCGCCCGGCTGAGTGCTTCGTCTAGAGGTGCGTAGGCATAGCCGAACCGTGCGAGTCCGGTGGGCGTGCCTAGCGCTTGCGCGAAGGCGTACCCGAGTGAGATGCACACGTCTTCGGCTGTGTGGTGGTCGTCGACTGGGTGATGGTCAATATGGGGTTGCCTTGTGGTTGGCGAGGGAGGGGACGGTGAACTCACTGTGCAGATCGCCCTTGCAGGCCAGCGCCAGACTCCAGCCGGCATGCTTGGCCAGGGCATGCAGCATGTGATCGAGGAAGCCGATGCCCGTGTTGACGCTGATGGTTTGCGACTTGCTTGACTGGGCGGCGTGGTTATCGGCGCCGCCTACTTGCAGACGCTCATCCGTATCTGGCGGGAATGCGCCGCCGTCGAGGTTGAGGGCGATCTGGATCTTGGTCTCGTTGGTGTCGCGCGCAAAGGCGGCCCACCGGGGCGAGGGTTGTGATGAGCTCATTTTGGTCTTTACTCTGGTTCTGTCTGATAATATCAAGCAGGGGATCCAGTTCTCCAAATATTGACTTTCCTTCACTCGGAAATTTTGGGCTTCACCACCGCGATCGGCGGGGGGGCAACTCTTAAGCCGCCCACAACCCCGCGCTCGGTGCGAACTGCGCGGGAAGAAAACCCCACGTAAAACTTACACACACCCCCCAAGGCAAGATTTATATTAGCCAACCACAGTCACTGCAACCCCTCTTATGCCAGTATTCGTTGAACCCTATAAGCAAATGCACCCGCAGTTGACTGCGTCGAACTGTGTGCAATTGTTTTTCGGGATTGACAAATGCTGGGATCTCAGTGAAATGAACGGGGTGCGGGCATTTGAAACGGGGTGCGAATATCCATTGCCTGCCGAAGACAGGAAATCGGCCAAGACCCCTGAAAGCCCCACCAATGCCGGCCGATAACAGCCACGATAAGGAAGCCGTCCCGAAATTTTTGAAGCTTGCGCTCGAGCGCAGCGTCGGACAACCACCACCAAGTAGCTACCCGCCATTGCCATTCATCAACCACCTCAATGGCGCCCACACGCACAATAAAAAACAAGCACGCCGCCCCCAAGGCCGGCGGCTCGAGTGGCGGCAAGGGCCCGAGAAAGTCTTCCGACGGCGGCATCTCCAAGCCCAAAGGCAAATCCGGACCCAAAGCAAAACTCCCAGCAACACAGATTAAAGGCAGGCCCAATCTACCGGGACTCGACAAGAACAAGAAAAAGAAGCAGCGGGTCTACACAGAAAAGGAATTGGGCCTCCCCGAACTCAACATGATCACACCCGTAGGCGTAACCAAACCACGAGGAAAGAAGAAGGGCAAAGTCTTTGTCGACGACAAGGTTCGCCTTCCCCCTCCCCTCCATCAACCCCCCCCCCCCCCAATACCAACCCCCCCATCTAACCACCCACCCCCCCAAATCCAGGAAAGCATGACGACCATCCTCGCGCTCGTACAAGCCGACAAGGACGGGCAGATCGAGTCCAAGATGATGCGGGCGCGGCAGATGGAGGAGATCCGCGAGGCGCGGCGCGCCGAGGCCGACAAGAAGGAGGCCGAGCGCAGCGCCCGGCTCGAGGACACCAAGGACTCGCTGCGGCGCAAGCGCAAGCGTGCTACTGGCGCCGCTGCTACTGCTGAAGAGGAGGAGAATGTTAAGGCTGTGGCGGCGACGGGGACGAAGGCGGCGAAGGCGAAGAAGAAGAAGGTTTCTTTTGCGGCGGAGTGAGGTGGTGGTGGTGATGGTGGCGGTGGTGGGGTGTGCGTGTGCGTGTGCTTTTTTGGTCGGGTCATTCATCCATCGGCATGGCGGGCGTCTGGCGTTGTTGGTATTCAGAAGGTGAAATTGGGATTGTCGGTTTGGGTTGAGATACCAACAGAGCGGGTGGCACTGAACATGTTATCATTGTATAACCAGCATGGCAGTGTGTCACGCCATGTATATATCTAATTCATCGTTCACTACCCCGGATGGTCTGTTGTCATGCACATCTATTCCGACCTTGAAATGCCCGCCACGCTATTCTATGAGATCCTGGCCAAATCTATCCTAAACACCGGTGCTACATTACACCAAATACCTCCTTCTCGTCTTCAGTTGCTGAGAATTTGCAACTTCCGCCTTACCGGGTCGAACTCAGTGACAAACTGAGTTTTGGAGTGTGCTCCATTAGCGTTGGGGTTAATGGCGTCAAGGTCGATCTCGGTGACCATGCGGTTCAGGAACTCGCAAATCTGTTCAAATCAGCTAGACTGTGCGGTCGAATGGAATGGTAGCACCTACCGGCCGAGCATGCCATCTCCCACCGCCAATCTCGAACCACGAGATATGCCCGCCGAGTGAGGTCGTGGCAAGCACTGTGTACGGGTTGTGGGCGAACTCCTGGAAGGGGATGGCATCATATACCGCGATCTGTGGACGAGATGTAAGTGAGGTGAACCGACTCCAATTGGGGCGGCACGTACCGGATCATCCAAGGCGGAGATAGCAAGAAAAGGAATCCTGATGGCGAGAATCGCGTCTGTCGATGATGCGTCGCGGTAGTAAGCATTCTCGGTGGGGTAGCCCCATGTTACGGTCCTAGGCCGGATTGTTAGTGACCACCTTCGATACCCTGTAGGTAGACTTACTGGACCTCGCGATCGAACTCGTGCAGGTACGTCACGTTCTGAATCCGATCGTAATCCAGATTTGTGTGTTTCAGGATGGTGTCCTTGTGGGATTCGAAGAGTTTCTTCAAGCTGGCTGCTCGTTTGTCAGAGACGGGACGCGAACTAAGCACCCCAAAACAGACTTACTCCCCATGACCCGCGAGTACACCTGCTTCCCCAGCAATGTCCGTTGAAGAGCCTTATTCGAAATCTCCAAGTCGAAAGGGTTGGCCACAGAAATGGCCCCTTTCAGGAGGCAATTTGCACCTTCCTCACCCACATACTATCAAGAACCATTAGCAGGAACTCAGCGACTGTCGAGTCAACGGCCTTACGTTGGTCAGGATGTTGGCGCCCAACGAAAACCCGAGGCCGAAGAGCGGCCGGTTGGGGAAGGTTTGCTTTGCCCACTTCACGAACTGCCGAACGTCCCAGGTAGCCCTTGCGTTGAAGAGGAGACCGCTCGTCACCTTGCTGTTGGCGCACCCGCGGGCGTTCACGACGCAGACATCCCAGTTACCGCCGTTCATGACCAGAGGCGCAATGGCATGCCGAAGGTAAATCTCGTGAGAGCCGCCGGAGAGGCCGTGCAGCACAATAAGCATGGGCCTGCTATCGTCGGAGCCGATCTTGGCAAAGTCATCCTCCGAAAAGAAGGCAGTCCTCGGCGGCAGCGCCTCGTCCGCATCCGAGTGCGGGTCCACCGCAAAATCGACCGTGAAAGTGCCGGTGTAAGTCTTGTGATCGGCGTCAAAAATCCTCCTACGGTAGTAGATGGGTGGGCCGTGCTCCTTAACAGCAGTCCACATGGTCTGAAGGTGACCGTTGAAGAGCAGGGGGTTGAGCTGGCAGGTCGGAGTGCTGGCTTCGCAGACCTTCAGCAAGTCCGTCGCGGTGCCATCTTTCCTTTGCAGGGCCAACGGTGAAGGCGAGTGGGTGAAAGCGATCTTCGCACGGCCAAACCAGTCCATGGCGCTGAGCAGTCGTCTGCTGACCCGGGATGAAACGAGAGAAGACAGGGTGTCGACGAGGTTCGCGATCTAAAGAATATACCAGGGGGGAGGGCGAACAGGTATTTATAGCTTGCTTCACAACCCGGCAGGAGGATGGACCGGATTTCAAGTTTGGTGATAATGCCAATGAGAGCCAAGGCGGCGCCGGTGGATATACTTTCTTTTTATTGCTGTTTCTCGGTGTTAGTTACTGCGTAGAAACCTAAGATCAAGGAGAAAGCGGTCTCAATGTCAACAAAACGAATGTGAAAAGCGATGCAGCTGGAGATCAGTGTGAACGAAGGCTGGAAAGATGCAACGCCGCGCTGAATATCCGAGACATGGGGAATCCTACTTGTAAGTAGAAGGAAGAAAAAAGTCC